AAAAAAAAGGTTTCTGTACTGCGGCTCCCTGTGGCTGTGGAAAATAACAGTGTAATGCAGGTGTGTGCATGTGTGTAATGCGTATGTGTACCTCTGTCTATGTGTCTGTGTGTGTGTATGTCTGTGTGTGTGTGTGTGTGTGTGTTCATCTTTGGGTAATTGCATGTACACACACGCCTACAAACAGTAGAGCACAGAGCCTAGGGCATCTTTCATACACAGGAAGGATGGGTTTTGAGTGGCTTCCTGGACAAATACCTGTCTGTTGTCAAGTGTCAAGCAGGGAACAGTGACATTTCACTGCACACACACATATATACACAACACACCACTCTCAACACTCATATACACAGTAAGGGGCATTTCCTCTGAGTGTCAAAAAGACAATTGTCCAGGTAAAATAAAACAGCTGCTGCATTTTGAAAAACCATAGCTTTTCCAAATATTATGGTCTTTCAAGTTTTGGATACAGAAAACTATACACATTTTAACATTGCATATTTTTGTCATCCATTTTACCATTATAGAAGTAATAAAAGAAATAAACTATATAATTTTAATGCAAATTTGTGTCCCAACTATATTTAGCATTTTGACTCATTTTCTTCTATTGCAGCTGTGTCAACAAAAAATCTGCTGACAGTCGGCAGAGGATCTCATTCTTTCTCTGATGACATTTATATTAGTGTGAACTTTCTGGTCTGCAGAGAAACCCACCTCTCCTTTAACTTCATCATGTGTGGGGATCCCTTTGAAGTGGAGCTGTGGAGCTCCTAGAGTGCGACCTCTTGGTTTTCACAGGAACAGTAACCCTCTAAAAGCTCGCACTCCCTCTCCTTCATCTCTGCACAGTGCCCTCCTTTCACTGCCATGTCTTAAGGGCCCTTTTAATAATTTGACAAGTTTTCTCAAAGATTAATTATGGTCAGCTCCGAAGCAGCAATTATGCAGGGTGGAGAGACTTGGTAAACTTTCTCAAGCTCCATCTCCAGGGTCCAATTTTCCACTTATAAAGCTGTCAATGCAGAAGAGAGGTTGTCATTCTGTCTAAGGCAAATAAAAGAATAAACAGTACTTACTGGCAAACGCCGTGTGGTTTCCTCTCAGACAGCGCCTGCTGCATGTAGGACAAACACAGAGTGGAAGCCCAAAATGTAGATTTGTGTGTATGATAATCGTTACAAGAACACACAAAAATGTGAAACATTTCATGCTTTTTGATCAAGCAATTCTTGAATGAATCAAAATATTTAAATATCAAAATTATATATTTTTTCTGTATATTGCTGGAACAGGCACCTGTTTATTAATTAGTCTACAGTCTAATTCATACAGTAGGTTTATTTTAAGAGCCCTAATGTTTACATTATTAAACATTGTGAAATGTAAAGATTTATTTTTTTCTTACTATTTTCCAGTTCCAAATTTGGGAACATTTCTATAATTAACTCTGTGTTTGTAACTGACCAATAAATAAATAAAAGGAAAATTACATTTGTCATTGTGGATGTACAGACACATAAGGACAAAGAGGGAGGGATTTTTACTTACTTTGAATGATATCATGAGTGAAGAAGAATGTAATTTAAAATGCTTATTGAATTTTTATTTCGTAATTTCTCTTGAAACTGAGAATTAAAATAAAAGTTGTATAAATAAAAGAGTATCAAAACAGTCTCTGATTTCCATTTTCAAGTCTCGGGTCTGACATTCTATTTAAAGACCAAGTGCAAATATTACTTTGTATTATATCCACAACACACATATATATATATTTATATATATATATATTTTTTTTTTTTTTTCAAATCAAAAATTTG